GCTCGCAGAAGTACTAGACGCATTCTCACAGAAGCACTCTCACATTTGTATCGCGTGTGTTCGCCTTGCTTGCGTGTGTGAACATGACATATATTTGCAGACGGGCCTTGTGGGGAGCCTGAGGAAGTCGAGAACGCGTATGTGCAGACGTGTGGCGCCCAATCCCCAGACACTCACATCTACACGTGCGACCCCGGCTACGGCATGTCAGGGGCTGCTGAGATCCGTTGCCTCGAGGGAGTGTTGGACAGTCCGCCGCCAACATGCTCAGGTAAACCCGGGGCTGATTTATTTACTTCTTTTTTTCCCGCCAAACTACTTTCGCTCTATCACCCTGCTTCTGCCATATCTTTGACGCTAACCGAGTTGGTGACTTTTGTCTCACTCATCGTCTAGTTGCTGTCAATTTTTCGGGGGTGTGGGGGTGAAACATTGAACGCTGAAACATTTCCCTGCCTGATGGAAAACTAAATGTAGCGATTCTAATCTACCTTCTTTTTAACCTGTATGCCATTGCATGCAGCAGTGTACTACCTGATCAGTGATGACACTCTATAAGATGACTTTAATTTTACAACAGTTTCAATCGTCAGTATTATATTTGTGACTCTACAGATGCAGACGGCTGTTCGCCAAATCCATGTCACCAGGATGCCACCTGCACGGACAACCCCGCCCCTGCCCTCGGGGCCACGTGTGTGTGTGACGATGGTTACCTAGGAGACGGGTTAGCAGATGGAAGTGGATGTACTGGTAAACTTTGTCAAGCAACTGTTTCGATTATACATGGCAAAAATATGCAATAATACAGAAAATTGATTTGTTTGAATGTGGTTTATTCAAGTCTTCAATTAATGTTACTTGGACTTGAACACGAGTTATTGTGTAGTGACAATCACATCAGTGTGGGGAGCAAGCGATGCAGGCAAACACTGTATCTTGACAGATACTGATGTTGTGCATCTTTCTTTTAAGCTTGCCCCGTCCTGTACCCCGGCCTACGCCCTGCCCAAAACTTCGACATCTACCAGAACCAGTGCTTCTGGTACTCACCCAGGCATACGCGGCTGAACTACAAGGACGCCCGTCTGGAGTGCGAGGCGCATGGCGGCACGCTGGCCATGATCAAAGACGACGATGTGCAAAGTTTTATCCTGACCCTCCTGAAGGGTAAAACTCAAAGGTAATCCTCTTTACTACAGAAACATGTAGCATGCCAGCACGGTGCCATTTAGTCGATAATAGAGCTTCTACAATTTAGAAGGTGGCTGTTGTATGTGACATTTCCTCACACATATCTAATTCTGACAAGTAGTATTTATTCACTCTTTCGCTGTGCATGTATTCATTTCATAGATCCATGTTCATTGGAAACCTTGACTGCCTCTTAACCTATACTTTATACCCTTCAGACTCGATACTTCATCATTCTCTGGGATCTCTGGGATTCTCGTTGTCCCTTAAGATCAGTTTTACAACGCAGACTTTGCTTGTTCAGCCCTACACAATAATTAAAAACGATCGTATTGTATCCTTGATTCACTCATTCCTTATAGGAAGTACTGGATTGGCCTGGATGACACGGCCACAGAGGGTGAGTTCGTGTGGAATGACGGGACCCCGCTCGGAACCTTTCGGAAGTTCAAGTCCAAGGCCCCTCACAAACGCCGGGACTGCGTGGTACTATGGAGGACCAACAGGCACAGTCGCTGGTACCGCTTCAGCGGCGGGATGAGGCTGCCGTACATCTGCCAGCTGGGTGAGCACGGCGTTTCATATTACAGAAAACTGGCAAAATATAGTCTATAGTCTTTTCCAGGCTTCAAGGTCATTCAATATGACCAGTCTATTTTGTCATACTCATACCCATTTGCTGAATATCGCAACCTTTACTATTCTGCAAAATCATTTAGCCTATTTTAGCCATATCTATTCTTTTATCACAGGGAGGAGTCTTGTATAGAGAAGCTATACTAGACTCAATGCCTCATTTCAAAATACCTGACACGACAAAACAATACCACAGGCTTACGTTCAATGTTTAAATCTCACAAGCGTTATGTATCTTACAGGTACAAGTAGCTAACATAGAGATGGACGGACATGCGCAGTGACGTCAACAACAGCATGACGTCAGGACATCATTGCAGCCGCAACTGATTCTTGTCAGCCTAGTGAGAAAACAGCCCTGGATTTACTTTACTGTGAGAGTTTACAAGTTGATTCAAAATAATTATGCTCTTTAAAGCTTAATCTTGGCTAGCCACTATCGATTTATGCGTTATAACAGCGTTAAAATATAGTTTTATTTGATCATTGATATCATTAGCAGATATCGATAGTATAAAATAAAGACTAAACTTCAACTCCCAACACTACAATGAATTGGGACTTACCCCAAATTTTCGGCTGACTCCTTCAACCTTGTTCACGTAATGGACCCGTCTTTTATTGGAACGTGACGTCAGAGACACGTGACCATAGTAGCCGTGAACAAGGTTGACGGGGTCAGCCGAAAATTTGGGGTAAGTCTCAATTTATTGGAGTGTTGGGAGTTAAAGTTTAGTCTTCATAATGACTTGTACCAACACAGATGAACTTTCATGCTAAGATACCGATGGGTTATAGCAAGACCCTAGTGATTTATGAAGACGATGGTATGTCATGATTTTCTATCATGCATTCCAAAGTAAGCTAGATGACAAAGATTATTGATCTTATCATATTGTATGCTGCATACCGAGCGCATATGCTGGTTCCTATTGGATACATCTTGACTTAAAGCTTTTTTGTGCATTTTTATCAGTTTCTAGTGATGTTGAAAATGATATTTGGAGAAATGATATAGAAGCAGGATTTTACTTGCGAAGCCATGTGTACACAAAAGATGTCAGTCAAGAAAAATACATCTATTTTTGTCAGTGTTTAAGGCAGTAATGCGTGTTGAGTTGTATTGTGTCGTGCCAAGTTGTGTTGTGTATGATGTGTTGACTGGTTTCGTAAGTGGCGTTTTGGAAGTTTTAAAAAAAGTGACAATATCTGAAATTGTTATCGGGTCGCTTTAGCAGATGTGGAAATGATTTTTTTTCAAGTTGGCGGTGTTGAAATAAACCTGGCCTTGACAATCCAGTGTCCGTGTGTTATCTGTGCATTACAGTTGAGTCTGCTGTGGAAGTATCAACACAAAACACAATACCGACCTTTCTGGTTCTTGATTCTTCTCGAGCTCAGGTTACAGAGCCAGTGTTCTAAAGAGCGCCCCCTAGCAGACGCCGCATGTACTACAGTTCAGCCTGTACCGCGAGTATTTTAGTTGTTGAGGTAGTAATTGTTTTGTTACGGAAGGTTGTGACAATGCATACATTCCATGTGGACACCACCACCTATGACATTCAGGAATCTAGAAACACCACATTTAATTGGTCTAAAACAGATTCAACCATTGTTTATTGAACATGTTGATGTTTCAGCTATAGTACCTTCCCAGAAACGACAGTAATACAACATGCAGTAGTACAATAGAAATTTCTTAGTAACCTGATGTCACGACTGACGCAAGACATCCCCACTTGTACCTTTGGCCAATATCTGATCGCATACAGATCCAACAACTTTGGGTTTTGGGGTGGTGTTAAGTGGAAGATAGACAAAAACATATAACCTTTCTCTGTTGGCACAAAGTCAATGGCTGATGTACAAAAAGACCGCATGTAAAGGCACGGGAGAGTCACTGAAGGGTTATCAGGGCATATCTAGAGGCGTGAGGAAGCATGAAAGATAAAATGTCACCAAAAGGTCGTTCTGAGGTTTGTTTGTTTATTTTGATCACTACCTTTTGAGTGAAGCATGGCATACATGTACACCCTGTGACGTCCAAATAACCGAAGCTATCGACAAAGTGCAAGCCCTGGTGACAACGAACGACAAAGTTTTATTTTTAATAGGACACTCAGCTCAAAGTATCGCCTTCTACTTAACTGCTGCTTCTGCAAAGTATCGGTATTCTACTAACTGCTATATGTGCAAAGAATCCATTGCTTTCGGCGACGATCGTTGAGGCAAGAGTTATAGTGATTCAGCTGTTCTATGCATTTAAAAAGGCCAATCATCACTTGAATTCACCTAACACCACTAGCAAGGCCACCACTGCAGTTTGAGTCGTTGATTTGTAGCTTTTCGTTGGAATCTCTACAATCTCTAACCCAGAGCCACGCGGATAACTTTACGGGCAAATTGAACGACTAGGTAAGAGTTGGACTGAGGGTTAATGTGGAGGTCAATCTATCCCAGCAGGCTTAGCGTTTTTGGCGAAGGGTCCTGACATGTTATTATATTAACTCCACCTGTCGTTTCGCTCCGACAGTGGGGACGTAAGTCTGTTAACAGTCAGGTGGACTGTTGCAGCAATAGGGTAGACCATTTAGTTCTGACACAAAGACATGGTTCTGAAGATGCTATTGTTCTGAATGAAAAAACAACAACAACAACAACACTGTATTAGCAACTTGCCGAAGGGTTAGGATTAGACAGATGTTGCGATGGCAAGAGTTCGCACCATGCTATACTCAACCCACTCCCCTACCCTACCCTCTCTGTACAAAGTTTATGTGACACTGCGTGCCCTTGTGCAACCCTGGGCGGTTAGGCACTATGCCGCAAAATGTTTCAGTGTACAAGTAGTAAATAAAGGACGGTAGACGAAAACAGTTTCGCACGCTAAGTTCTTCATAATTCAAAGTAACTTAGATAATATTTCAATACATCAATATACTGCAATATGACGGATTTTATCCTTTGATCATTTGAATTGAAATCATTTCAATTAATAAGACATCAGAATATGCAGCGAAACTGAAAACATACAGGTTACACGCCAACATGTTTTGACATATCTTTGAAGACCACGATGATGATGTTAGGCCTGTATGATTTATTAATTATATTTGACACGAGCCTCCTTGACCCTGTTCTCAGTAAACACACCGTCATCAGTTCCCCTCCCTCCCATCAAGACGTGGCCTCCTGCGATGCCCCGTTCTTGTGCTGAGCCGCATGCTTGACTACCTCGACTTAGCCCTTCTGCCTTAGCGGAATGACCCCCGGGCTCCTTATAGGGCGTGGCGCCATTTGGGACGACAGCAGACGTGACGCAGCGCCCGGCAATGGTCGCGAGTCTCTCGGAGGGGTAATCATCCTTACCGGGAGGGAGACATTCCTGGCCGGGTTCTCACATCGCACACAAGGCGGAGATAACAAAGCCGCAACCAGAGACGCTGTGCGATAGGACAGGCATCTTCCAGCAACCTTCCCTGTGGCCAGGTCCGCCCGAAGTTTCCTCCTGCCCAGTGAGAGGGGAAATGAGAGGGAGACAGCCATTTCCGAACACTTAAGCAGCTGGGATTGGTCAAACACGAGCACACTCTTACTTTAACGTACTGAGATTTCCTCGTCGTGTAACGTGTTCCCGCGTTGTGAAGGTAAGAAGCTCATTAGTGTATAGCCTAGTTTTATCATTACCGCGTAGCTTTACCATGTGAGTAGTTCTCGTCGCAAACATTGTTTACAAAAATGTACTTGGACGTGTTCACTCATAAGGCAACACGTGAGGAACAGTAACCAACAGACCATGTCCAGGACTCCTGAGCTTTGTGTCTACCAGGTAAATAAATGTTGGTCTTAACGTATCAACTTGTCAGCTCAGTGCCCTGACACCTGCTTTACACCGCACGTCCCAGGTCGTGGTAGAAATGAAATGCTTTGTGTAGAAATGAGCTAGCGGTACAACGATGCGTCCTTTTATGGGGTTCACCTTACAAGTTAACCATACATTTTGTTGTTTTTACTGAGAATGATGTGTTGTAGATGCATTCTATTTAGATGTATTTATGCCCTTTTCAACATAATATTGAAAGCCTTGTTTTATTCGGCTGCATGCAGCATGTAACATCATAATTTGAAAATTTTAGCACTCAACGGTCACTTGACTCCTGGATTGGTACAATTCTGTTTTCTCTTTATAATGATGAAAAAGTTAGGTCTGATACCTTTTATAATAATTAAAATGATAGATATGATTTTTGTATCTTCCACATTGTTGCCACCTCGACACCGTATACGTATTTGCGGTGTCAAACTCGTATCTATCACATTTGTGACTGTAGCGTAAAATTAATGAATGAATGAAAGACCTTTATTGTACATTTTTGCTCATTGCGAACTAAGTACAGGTCACGGCAAATAGCGATGGTAGACTAAAATACATCTATAGTAAAACTATATGTGTACAGGTTCTGCTTCTTCTCGCTTCTTAAGAGACAGTTGTAAATGTAAGGACAGATGGAGCTATGCTTGCTATTAGCAAGAAAAGTGAAGAAAATGTAGAAAGAACATGCACATTCAGAGTACAATCAGAACTCTCTCGAAGTTGTGTGTAACCTATTCGGGGTCTTGGGTATTACAGTAACTGCAAAATGACAGGAACTCGCCACTAGATCTAGTAATAAGTACTAAACCAGCTTACCATGCATGATGTAGATTTCTTGTAGTTTTAGCTCACCTACGTGTTCCGTTTATAGCGAATGTCAATGATGATTTGGTCTGAGTTTTTATGTTGTTTACCATACTGAATGTTAAACTACAAAAAACACAAAAATGGTCGCTTTATTTCACAAGCGAATCAAAACTTAAATGGAACATGCAAGAAGCTAAGTATGAGTCTATCATATTGTTTTTACATGTCGGCTTGCTCAAGTTGTTGCGCGCCCCGACGCGATGAGGTAGGTATTGGCAATACGGATGGATAGAAACTTCGCTATAACTTTTATACTGTATGTTGCTGGTCAGTTGGTTATACAACTGTCATGTCGCACAATTTAGCGCTTTCTTGTGTGTAAAGCATTTTTTTCTGGTTTATTAAGCTTCACGGCACTATTTTTTCATTTTCATGTGACCACATGTTCACCTTCCTATTAACATGAAAGGCCAAACTACTAGTATACAAAAGACAGGTTTACAGTAAATACTGGCAAAATGACGCAACATTGTAAATGCCTTGAACGTGTATATAGCGCAATTCAATTCGTAAATGGCTATGTCTTCATTTTTCCTCCACAGTCTGAACAATCGGCAACTAGATGGACTTAATCAAATTCAGCAACGTTGCTTTCTCATCCGAATGTTGTCAAAGTCCAAACAATTGCAATCATCCCGTAGTCTCGAATCAAATATCCCCATTACATTACAAAGGATTTTGTATGTTCGATGTAGCTAAAATATAGGACTATCCGGGTCTCTAGTCATTATATTTTCGGGTCTGCTGGGTCATTATCTTTCAGACGATTTATAAAACTTGTTTTGAACGTGCCGAGATCAGGCCTTGTTGTGTATAGTCCGAAACATGTTGCTGACTGTATAAGTTCAAAGAATATATAATAGTCTATCCTTTAGTCCAACAGAAATTAGACTAAGTTAGTCGGCAGGACTACAGCAATGAGAACATTTATTTTGAATCAAGCTAGTGGACAAACGGCATTACCAGTAGATACTACGTACGTATTACAGTTATACCATATCACCATCTTAATTAAATACGATTCTCCAGCATATCAAGAAACACAAAAATCTACTGTGCATTGTACGTTCTTATATTCCTGTACTGGCGAGTCCAGTAACTAGAATGGAAACATACCAGGATCATGAGACGTTCTGGGCTATTTATAAGAGGGCCCATTGTAAGGTCTTGTGCGAACCCGCGGTGCACCAAATGAAGAGGAACTAAATCAGGAGGCTGAGCTGTTTGATTTGGGGAGGGTCAAGCGGCCGGACACGCCGGGAGTCCGTTTAACCAGGACACGGCGGTGTGGTAGAGGGAGGGGGTCATCTGACCCTTTATTAATTAGATTTAGGAAATTGCCAGGTAACTGACTGTGATCATTAAAAATTTTCTCGTGTGTCCACATTAATATGTCGCCTGAATGACGATAAATAGCACGTCGGGACGGGCAGAAAAATGGATTAAAAGTGCCTTGTTATTACGCTAGAGTAGGTGGAGGGAGGAGGGCATCTGATCATGTAAGACTCATTTGTGTGTTTAAACTTTTATAAACATGCAAGGTAACTAAAGATAGGAATTGCTGTGATAGCTAAAACTTTTCTGGTGTGTCTATTGACACCTTGAAGAGAGGAGAAAATTTTCGCTTATATTCCATGTATATTACAAATCTAAAGTAGTAAAGATTTCACTTATATGCTGTATATTACAAATCGAAAGATTTGTTTAATAGGAAAAAAATACCTAAAGTTTCAACAACTTACAGATGGATTCAAACTATAAAACGTGAAACCCACTGTTTTGGTACTGAGCCCTGTCATTGCTCTGAGATACCCTATTTCCGGTGCCTCTCTGCAGCGACATCTTGTCCGTAATGACTAACATTCTCTATCAATATTCTCCTGAGAACTCACCATTAGCAAATCCATCAACACAACTCGATATCTCAAATGAATTTTCTTTCCTTTCTTTAGAATTTGCAATTCAACCGTCAAAATTCGCTTCTTCAAGTATATTTTTCATTCTAATTGCGATAAAAACCTTATTTAATACAGAGAACGTGAAAAGTTACAACAGACTCTGATCAGCGTCACAAGTGGCGCCCAAAAATGTCGTCTGAAAATAATGACGATAATCACAATAAGCCAGGGCGGACGTCGGACAGAAAAAAAGGATTAAACGTTCCTTGTTATTAAACTCAAGTATCGTTTTAAAAGTACAAAGTATTAAAAATGTAGCGGCACCACAGGGTGTCATAGCCGCAGTGTTGTGCCAAAGAATGACCGTAAAATTGATTTGAGGAACACTAATAATCCATACAGAGCCGGCGGGTTCGCTTGTGGGATTCCTCGCCATGTCTATAATCAGACTCCCGGGCTCCGCTCTCCTGTAATCACGATAGCGCGCTCAAGCCTAACTCCGGCCGGGCGGTCCTAACATCACAGGCAGATTACTGAAGGCCGCGTTGTCATACACGGATTAGTGCAGAAGATAAGAGAGATCCTGTTTATCGACTGAAAGGGGATTAAAGTTGGCTTAACTTTAAGTGAATTCTGAGTGCAGACTTTTGTTTACGAGATATTGATTATAAGACTCACAGATTACCGTATTTAGGCAAACGGACGTCCAAATCGTCTTGGAGAGTGTACAGGGTTAACAAAACCAAGGCCAGGTGCGCTGTACAGATTGACATTTCCCTTCAAACAGCACTTTAAAGCAGGAAGCGTTTGCTTCTTAAGTAAACCAAACAACGAGACAATATGCGTTATTATGCGACGTGTTACTTCGTAAGGCGACGTAGATAGAAATGACTTGACACAAGAAAGTACTTGGCCGAGCCTGTTTTGATAAACGGTACAACGACTGTATCAACACCGTTTTGTGCTGACGCCCGAGGGACAGGACGGTTTTCCGTTTTATTTTTGTTCTGTTGGGAATTTTCTAATATCAATCATCAAATATGTAACCTGACTACGTATACGCGTAAAATGATGACTGATTAACTTTTTGCAGTAGAAGAGAACAATATTATATAGATGAGAGAAACAGCTACAGAATTAACAACAAAGTGCGCACAATCGCCGTGCTAAGACATGCCTCTATACAAAACTAAATACGGCCATAGTTTACTTTCCTGCGGCAGTTCCGTTGTTTGCGAAATGTACTACATTTCCATATAAGGTGTCCATAATGCACAGGAATCGTCTTACTTAGGTAAGAACCAAAAGTCCAAAATAATCTCATGCAAAATAAGCTTCGTGCACGCATATCTCCAGGTTAAGTACGGATAAACAACTTCAGGCGCACGTGGGCAACTCATTTCTCGCGGACCTACCGAGCGAAGTCTTGTGATCCACATGCAAATCCAGAACTCCGATATGTGGACTTATTAGGTATATCCTTCATTACCCTCCGTTTCTTGGAAATCTCTTTCCTTAGTTCTAAGCCCGCCGTAGTTGACAAGACGTAGTTTTAAACTTATTTAGCCTTCAACTCCGCTCTTCTTCTTGGAAAGTAGGTTCCTTCTAGATCCTTCGAAAATAACTAAAAAAAGTCCCATAATACTCATGGCGTAGCAGAGTTTTACCACAGCCTTAATGTGGAGTTTTCATTGATGAGAAAAAGTAAAGTCAAGGGAAGGATGAGTACGGTCAGCAGGAAGGTGCAGAATATTAACTAACTTAGAGACATCAAAATCAGACTTTGAAGGGGAGAAGTTCAGGATTGTGTCGACAGTTGAAGGACAAATGTTGGAAATGTAACAATAGTGATATATCATAGAGAGAGGAAGATGTACAGGATAAAGACCATGTCTATGATATTGATCAGTTTACTGAGAAACCATGAAGGGAATGTTCCCTACCATACTGGCATAATAAGTTTATATTTCCGTGACTCTCAGCTACGGAAATCGCCCGACCATGACTGTGGTTATGAGGCAGAGGCATGTGCTGCCATGGCGGCCGATCGAAACTCTGGATAAGACTCGAGGTCGGTTGCCCTTGCAGCAGCCCGGTGATGATGATGATAAACTGGGGTTGAAAAATTGATGCACATTACATCGGGGCCGCCTACAAAACAATTTGTGGGAACAAATAAGTTATTTCAGTATAGCATCTGATGAACGTTTATGTTAATTTGCTTCAAGTTACTGAAATTAACAGCCTGGTCACCTACGTCTGATTAGGTCTGGAACTGGCCATGAGTAAATTGGCTTTATTTACTTCTGCACGCCTAGCCATGGTGATACTCTTATTTTGGAGAAGTTTTCTTTACATCGAGACTTTTTCCCACGGGCTTGAAAAACTGAATATTTGGTATCTACCTATAGCTGTCGCAAAACGTTAAAAACGCACATAGTTAGTACATTAGATTTTTCAATGCTTTGACATGTTGCTTTTTGAAGTGTTAAGGCCATGATAAAACAAACAAAAGCAAATGAATAAACAGATTAACTGATAATGTTCCAGTGTTATCAGAATGCAGGTTTGCATGCGATAACATATACATGTGCCATGTGTTTCAGTATGGACGTCAGTATTCTAGACCTTAGACATGTTGCTTTCTGGCAACGATTGGAAAACAGTATCGATATCGACCTTTATAGATAAACATCAGTATTGCACTGATCCATAGCAGTTTGTCGGTGTCACCCCCAAGACTGCCCGCCAGAAATTGCTCAGATTTCTCACAAGCGCCCCCTGACCCCCACCCGGGGTGATGCAGTCTCCTGGGTCACTATTACCGGATTCCGGTCATCTGGGCCAAGAACAAATCTGCTGTGTGTATTGGTGATGAAATACAACTGCGACACAAGTGACGCACGACAGACGTCTGTACTGAGTCTTAAGGACTAGAAACGGTTATCGATCCTTTTTTAATATCTCATATCCGCGTGATAAGCATGTTTGACACTTAAGTGTTTGAACCCGGTCTTTTAAAAGATATCACGGGCACGCGAATATTGTAGAATATCCTACCGGAAACAAAACTGACTCTCCTTAAAGCTCAACCTTGCATTCCAATGGCGTTTGAATCGAATCCTCTCAGTTGTACAAAGTTGGTAAATGTAGGACTTCATTTTTCTTTAAGCTTGCTTTCTCCTGTCGTTTGTTGTCAGCTAATTTTCATCAGTATACATAGACCACAAGATCTACGAGCTCCCTACCACTCCCGTTAGCACAATTATGGAGGTGAACTGTTATTAGATACTTTACGTGTATCTTGTTATCTCCAGACGGACCGTTATTTTAAGCTAAATGGCCTGAGGCCGATGACCTCGAGTGCTTACAAAATACTGGTCACTTTAAATTTGGAAAGACATTTTCCAAACTTCATGACCGCCATCTTAGAGGCCATCATTTTGAACTTGTACATTGGTGTCTCAATTTCGGTTGTGAGTGTATGTTTTTATTCTTGTTATGATTGACTTGCTTCTTTAATGAATTCAGTTACTGTAGAGATATTGTGTGATATTGCATGATATTGTGTTGTTGGCGATTTTATGGTGTCTTCGTAAATCTACACATTGGTTGGTGTGTTTGTTTGTTTCAAATTTCATACAAGGCTACTATGCATACATAATTTTGACGTTTTTGTTTCATTTTAGATGATGGCTCTCCATTCGCTGTTTGTCTTGGTCCTAGTGGTGTGCCTGTCCCATCAGTCCGTTTACTCCCGAACGCTTCAGGACGAGACCGCCGACACCTCCCGACAGGGGTCGAATGTTGCCGAGTATTACCGACAGGAAGGAAACAACGGGCGATGCACCTACACGTTCGTTGTTCCGACCGAGGATGCGCCGTGTGCAAAATCCGCCCAGGATCACAGTACCGCCATTTTGGAAATAAAAGACGACATGGGGAAAATGAAGGCTCTGTGGTCTGATTTGAAAGAACGACTAACTGCACTGGAACAACAAAATAGCCAAGTGTCAACGGCACCGGAGCAGATAATGGACCAGTCCGCCAATATAGAAAGCCGTGTGCAAGAGAATGAACGGAAAATCCAACATCTCATGTCGTTAATGATAAACCACACACATGACATCAAGGTCCTGCAAGACTCGTATCGTCAGGTGGACAATAATGCGCTAGTTTTATCTCGCGTCATGGCGGAGATTATGGAGCAGAACCGGGGCCTTCAGGCGGGTCTGATCGACGATCGCGGGGCAGTGACAAAGCTTCAGTACGCGGTCTCTAACCAGACGGAGACGACCAACCAGCTGCGAGCGCTGGTCGTCCGCCAGAACGAAGTCATCAACGAGCTCAGCAAGCAGATTCTCGAGAACCGCGAGAATTCCCGAGATTTGGAGAGACAGTTGGGATGGTTGAAGCACGCGCAGGCAGAGGGAACCGCCGACGACCGCGAGGGGATGAAGAACCTGACAGATATCATCTTCAACCTGCAGAACGACATCATTCGCGAGCAGGCCTCGATTCGCGGCCAGCTGCGCTCGGTCCTAAGGAAGCAGAAGAGGTCTGGGAAGAAATTCGAGGAGACCATCCGGGACCTGACGCAAGTGATTGTGGGAGTTCAGAAGGAGGTGAACAAGGCTTCCCTGAAGGAAGCGAATGACGCGTCCTCCACCGTGACGCTGTACCAGAGAGCGGGGGCGATGGTCGCGCACGACAAGCGGCCCATGTCCACCGCTACCGGCCAGAACGAGCCGGCCAAGAAACTACCCCTGCTGGTCATGGACCTTCCCAAAGGAGGCAGAGCGGAGGCCGTCAAACTTGCAAACGGTAAGTTACATACTAGTATTCCGACGTCGAACAAATTAGTCCAGATGTCTGACGATAACTTCCATAGAAGCAGTCGACGTCACTCAGGTGTAAGCATTGATACAGCCAAACGTTGGATAATTCTCAAGTCTTAATACTATTCATTGTGTACTTTGTCCAGACTGTGCTGAGATCTACCGTGGTGCACACCGGAAGGACGGCGTCTACACCATCGGCATTGGGCACGACGTCATGTCCGTCTTCTGCGATATGACGACGTCACAAGGAGGGTGGACCGTCTTCCAGAGACGCCTGGATGGCACCGTGGACTTCAGCAGGAACTGGGCTCACTACAAGCACGGCTTCGGCACACCAGGTGGGTCCTATCATCATTGCATCTATATTGTTTTTGACATTCTATAGCTAGTTTCTTGTCATTAAAAAAAGCAATCTCTCTTGGTGATTAGCAAAAATAACGACAAATAGAGAAGAGTTATGCTGAGGAAATATTCGTTACCTTGGTCATTACAACTGGATGTAGAAAATGTTCCAGGTTCGTGGCCTCCAGATTAGAAATGGTGGTAGACAAACGTACGTGGAATAAGGTGATACTTACTGTCCCTGTTGTGTGAACTCTGTCCACTGATGTCTTGTACAAATCAGGGGGCGAGTACTGGCTTGGGAACGAGAATCTGCATCTCCTGACCAGAGGCGGCAAGTACATGCTGCGGATCGATTTCGAGGATTGGGAGGGCGTGAAGCGGTTCGCGGAATATGACAGCTTCAAGTTGGAACCTGAAGTCGACAAGTACCGGTTAGTTTGGCCAGCATTCACGTAATCTTGTTTCTGTTTTGCTATTTTACTCCTCTCTGCTCTATGTAGTCAATTTCTGTTGAAACGTGTAGTAACGTTACCTTAAAGGAATATATATAGATATTTTACATCTTTAAAGTTTTCATGACAAAGTAAATCCTTTGGATCAATGGGTCACCATACTTTGATCATGGGTAGAAAATGTATACACAATCTTAAACACTTTGCATGTCTTACAGATTCATGCTATACCAAAAGTCCACCATAATCTTAAATTTCATGAAAGTGTGTCGGACAGTTCCTTAAACTAGCTAGACATAGATGTATGCTCTCTCAGTAGTTAACCAATCTGATCCTTCACGGACATCTGTTGGGTGGTTTGTTGAGGTAGCCTGAGGCTGGGGAACTACGACGGTACGGCGGGAGACGCTCTGATTCACGACAAGAACGACCAGTTCTCCACGTACGACCAGGACCACGACAGCAGCCAGAACAACTGCGCCCAGCTGAAGAGCGGAGGCTGGTGGTACAGCGACTGTAGCAGGTCCAACATCAACGGAAGGTAACTAACAGGGCATAGCCCGTCAATACCTATCACGGCTTGAGGACTGGTCATGTACATGTATAGTAGCTTTACCGTGCATGTCCATGCCTCTCATTGTTGTTCTCTACCACCATCGCCGTATCCATTCAGGCAATGTGAACGCCATTCCTGATACTACGATTCATTCTTTATTCTAGTTTGAACGTGGGAGCAAATTTTCTACTATATGACTATCCATTGTTATACCAAGTACCGATCCTACCTTTGAAACCGTAACTATCTTTATCTGCAAATTCCGCCCCTCCTCTGCAGGTACTACCAGACCGGCTTGTACCACTCCACCTACCAGAACGGAATCTACTGGCACGACTTCCGGGGGGTGTGGTACTCTCTCAAGTCCGTACAGATGGCAATCCGCCCCGTGGACTTCAGGCCGTAAAGCACCTCACAAGGAGGAGAGTCAGTCGTAAATGCCAGGAAACGGTTGTTTCTAGTGACATGAAGTTTCCAGGAGTCCCGAGAAGACGAGTTCTCTCTTGTGACGATGACGTTCCTCGGAGTTCCAGGAGCGCGTCTTGTTTTCAGTGACCATGATGTTCTCGGAAGAGCCGAGAACGCGTCTTGTTTTCAGTGACCAGGAAGGTGCCTGTCACACTTCTAGGAATACGTGTTGTTTCTAGTGATGATGTGAGTTTGTCGGATTTCTAGGATCTAGGAACTCTATTGAAGCCACCATCAAGTTCCTCAGGCTACCTTGGTGATAGTAAGGTGGTTCTCTTGTGTTGATGGTTGGGTGTTGGACGCGCTGTCTCCGACAAAAGGCGTCTTCGGATATGTGACTTGACCTGGAACTACACTAATGTTAACTTTCAAAGTGGATGTCTGAATACTGAACGTTTTAGCTGGCTTTTTATTTATTGCGCGCTTCAATTTAAAAGTCTAAATGATAATCTGGCAAGTCGCTCTCAAATGATGTAACTAGTTAAATAACAGACTAGGTTTAACAAAGATAATAGCGTAAGATAGATTTAAGTTTAGTGCGGTCCCCGTGTAGTAGGAAAGACCACTATCTATACATCAATAGTCTGCCTAACATGTAACTTTGAGATGAAAAAAGGACCTGAGCTCGTAGCTATATGTTTGACGTTGTACCGTTAACGTAACCACTGCCTGTTTACGAACCGCTATATAAACCTTTTAACAGTTATCACTGCAGGCTTTTCTAAATCTTTGGTAATTTTCTTCTGCTAGACCTAGCTACGGTCCTTGTTTTCCTTTCTACCTCGAATATAAAGCTGAAGTTCTATAACATTATTTAAACTAACAATAAAAACAAGCGTTCCAGTGATATCACTCCTGGGCTGACGTACCGACACAGACGTTTTGATTGACTGATTAGTTCTTACTTAAACAATAAGTAGGAATGTTTGAGGAAGAGGCTGTGGTCATTAAGCGTCTAAAATGCGGTTTAACCATGTTTCAACTGATTACACTTTGATGGAAATTTAACCTCAAAGGATTCTTGCCTTGAGATTGCACCATCTGTAAGACAGCACCATTCTCACGTCGCCTAGAAATCACCAGACACACTAAACAAATTTTCGTCCTGTCGAAAGGCACTCGAGGCTGACCTTGGAAATCCCGAGGGGTCACAAGGCCAAGCTGTGCCCCACCGCCCATCACTCGTGGCACGTGCGGCATGTTCCCGTGCCCGTAAGCGGCGGCCCGCGGCACACAGGCCGGTATAGCGCGCCAAATTGGCCGCGACATGCCGGTAAACAACCAAATATATCAAATTCCAGTTTCGTCGTTAGAGCACTTTTCTCCCGTGGGACTTTTTAAACACGACCTTTATTTGAAGCCATGATAAGCTCATCCAGATATAATTACCCCTGGACATTCTTACCAAGGGATCGTTCATTTGAAAGTTCAACTCGTTGTGGGTGGCAATGGAAGGTAAAAAGCTTGATATGTCTACATAGACATCGGTATCTAACATACAGTGGGTGAACAATGCAGTGGGTGTAAAGAATTAGAATTGGTTAACTGTACACAAAGCAAATGCCCTAAACATCCAACCCAACATAGCTAAATATAAAATGTAATAGCTCAACCAAAATGTCTTCATCGAAAGTTTCAATCCAGTACAAAAACCAAGCATTTAAATCAAGATCACTTCTGTTTTGCTAACTAAGAAATGATAATATTCACCAAACAGTTAATAGACGGGCATGAGCACTTAGTACCAAAAATCCGGAACATGTCATCTGGGGCGGGGGGGGGGGTAAGGACATGTCATTAGACATGCAGCTGCGAAACGATGACAGATGATGATGTATTGATGACAGCAGCCAAATGTGTTGAAGCGAGCAGTGTTGACGTGTATGGGACTCCATGAGGACATGTGGAGAGATAGTTAATCATGTCGTGACCTTATGATGATGAAGAGAAGAAATTAGGGCTGACGACATCATTATACTACCTGTACTGTTGTCACCAGGGATTGACCATACTGTTAATTCATTTCGATGTAATTAAACTTAGTTCAGTTTTATGGGACAAATATTGTATTTCAGGCTGCAGGGGTGGAGTTTTAACATACTTGACCTCGAGGCCCATAGATTCCAATTTCCTGTATATCATCAAATTTCAATTTCGCTGTACAATATTACAAAACTAATTCCTATCATTTGTCACAACCACAAGATACCGTGTTGCATGAAGGATGATGTTTTTATTGATCGTTGTTAATTTGATTGGTAATTGAACCTTGGGTTGTTTATCTTCTACTTGATTTATTGTTTTCTATATAGATGTTTGTATTACAATATTAGGATTTTTCAGTACGATTACGCAGATGTATATACAAGTTACCTATACAACATGTAGAAGACGATATTTTTAATACCTAGCAGATATTTTTGTACGAGTTCACGTATGTTTAAGGCTTGTCGCGGTCAATCAGATAGCTGTGATGTTAAGAGTTAGGTTTTGATTCTGGCGTTTGATGATCTTGGTACACCCGATGAAGTTGACAGACCTACGACAGCCTCTGAATGGAGAACAAATCGCTATCGTATTTGTTGGTCTGTACGTATGTACGGCAGATGATTGATTTACAGGTACCTAACTGTATTAAACCAATGATTATTTGCTTTACGTTAAAACGGTCTTCATTATCTTGAGCGAGTCCTTCTTTGCAGAACGACCACACACACGTGACAATATGGATGGTGAAGGTAAAAAGCAGCTACCTTCCATAACGTAAATTTCGTGACTTCAACAGTCCACCGGCCGTCTATCCTGAGGAGTTTATGAACGCCATCCGTATAGAATAGCACCACCTTGCGACAGTTTAGAAAACTTCTTCTTTCGTCATACGATGATATGCCAGACCGGGCTTTACGAGGAATTGCGTATGCACGCAACACAACATTCTGTAGGGCTTCGACCTGTACTGTACGTCTCTTGGTGGCGTGTAGTGGTCGTTTCAAGCTATTGGCTTATTTCACTGGATACATGCCCAGGCTATACACCTGTTGGAAGGTTCCACTCCATTGCATCCTCCCTGTATTACATTTAGTCTGTACAGACCCAGATGTAGAACCCGTCCGGTCAGCCCTAAATTACCGTGTGTGGAACCACACATTCTGTTCAGGACTGTGCCCTGTAGGTCACAACTTTAGGTCACATAAGTACAGCAGATAACACAGCCGTTTTGACAGCTACAGTGCATTGTGAAATGTACGTTGAAGTTCGAATTCAAGCTACACTTTCGACGTGAACGCTTTTCTACAACACTGCAGGCATGATCTGTGAGATGCAAACGTCTTGCATTTGGAGATGTTACCTCTTGCAATGAAGACTACATCTGGAGAGAATACATCTAGTTCTAAGGGTCATCGAATATTGAAAATTTTACGAAATGCCTGTTGGACTACAATGATTCAGGTGTAGGTGCTGCTGGTACTCCGGTCGTAACCTCAATGGGCGCGTGCGTTAGGGTGATTTCGTCATCACATGGATCCGTGAGTATATACATATGTTGTCGCAAACCATTTTGTGTTAGGTAAATGGCACTGCAGATACTAGTATGCAGGTGTGTGACGCAACCTTACTCACGACGCCAAACGTTCCATTGCTTAATGACCCAAAGGGTCATTGACCTGCACAATACCGTATGACCCTCACCGCATGTGTCCCATTATCTGATTCTTGCGAAAAATACATTTGTGAATAGGGTACCTGAATTGTCACCTCAAAACTTTGGAAACGTGTTGGAAAACCTGGCTGTTGAAAATAGAGCTTGATATTTGGTGTATCGGTAGTGCTACAGGGACAGGAAATGACAAAAACAGGAACGTTTAGTCTTACAAATATCCATGAGGAAACAAATGTTCAATTTGCAGTCCTGTGGCCCTAGGGTATACACTGTCCTCTGATTGCTCTTGCTTTACCAACTGCTGGCAAAATACCGGTATTCCACGATGGATAATCATTAGGAAATTACAGGTTATTTCAACTCGTCGACTGTTACTTTCACAATACATTGCCTGTTCTACTTTCATAACAATCTAGTCTTTTGTTGGAGACAACATATGTAAATTCAGAAGAGAAAGAAAATTCCTTATAAGTCAAAACAAAGCCTATTTCGCTCATATCAGACCAATAGCCGGATGTGTCTGTGAGAATGGTGGAAAGAAAACACGAAGCGGAAACACATAGTTCACCTGTTCGTGAGGAAACGTTCCTGAGTAAATCGCAGCCCAACACCATGACGTCATTATCAGACAAGATTCAGCCTCAGGACGTGTTCAGTCGTACAATGCAGGTATGGCGCCACGCGTTCTGAGACATTTAACAAATGTTAACTAAATGTTCACTGACCATCTTTCACACTAGTACTAGTGTTCTTTTCACCCTGAGTAACAGATTTACCCTAGTCCGGTGGTGAGTGTGCCGTGTGTCGTCGACAATTCAAGTTAGTTATAATTATGCCCGGTGAGCGTTCAGGGGAAGTCTGTCATCCAGGGTATGTTCGTGTTGATCAGGGACTTTTGTGGATCAGAGACAGTCATTTCATATTTTTGTGATTGTGTAGATATATGATTCGTGCAGTGCTGTTAGGAACCATGATTGATGGGTTGCTGAGGTTAATACAACTGTAACCTAGCCGAAGGGGAGGCAATGATATCTCTGGTTCACCGTGGACAGACCGTGCAGTGGGGTCAGAGTGGGGGTAAGGACGAGCAGGAAGCAGGAGAGCTAATACATGAATAAATCTGTAACAGAAGTCTGTTTCTAACCTTACGTTACTGTATTGACTTCCGGACCCTTCAGGTTTACCAGAAGTGACTGTTGGCGCCGGATTCCGGTAAGGAAGTGACGTCAACCTTGGCTGGTTCTCGTACAAGGTGAGTCTTGTTATTTTGGCAATGGGCATTGCCTCCCTGAAAAACAGAGGTATTGTTTTTGGTCCGCCAGCTGTCTAATAAAAATTCCAAGGAGACTAAACCCGTCCTACTAATCAAAACGCCGCTTTTCTGTGGTGTAAACACCAGTAGAAGGTGCAAATCGCAAGCCGGCGGCCATGGGCGACCCCCTGCAAAAAACAATCAACCTTTTTTTTTCCAGACAAGATACGAGTAGCAATGTTGTTGTTTTGTCCAGACTTATGAAAGTTAGCTATGCTACAAAGTAATGCAAAAAGTTAGAATTCAAAGCGACTGTATATCTTATGATAAGACTGAATACTCTATACAGTGATACTGTGTAATGGGCTAAAGTACTGTAACGTTCAAGAGTGAAAGTAAGTCATCTGTCTCAAACCTTTGTTGAATCATTGTACAGAATGTATTTTAGTATTACTAGTAATCGAGCAATTACTTTTGCGACCTGGAAAACTCTCGTGATTTCAGCTGCAGGCTTGACTTGCTGTGTTGATACAAAAGCCACTTAGACTGACACAAGTCAATGCGTTAATAGCCATAATTATAGCATCTTTGTGTACTTAATCAAGATAGATAAATACACGAGTATCAAATTGTAGATGCTAATCAATTTTCCTTTATTTCCTTGATGAGTGCGTTAATCTAAAACTGGCCACCTGATTAAAAGCATTCATATAGTTTGATATGTTTTTCTTAAATTAGTATTATTTGGTTTGCACCACGCCCACATCATTACCTGCTTCCACGCAGATTAGAAACATTTGGTCAGTTTAAGTCAGGTTAGCACAACACAAATGTGTTTCATTGTGAGAACCCAGGCGCGCATGTACCGTTTTCCCCGCGTCCGATGCTAAAAAATATCGAACAAGGTTCAAGCATAAAGAAAACTGCAACGTTACAGCTAAAGAAAAGGGAGTCTCCCACTGGAGAACTACTTAAAATCTCCCCATGTCAGTCATTCTGTCAGACCCTTAGCAACCACCACACCGCGCATGTGTATCGCCTCGGTCGGCGTTGCTAAGCACTTGTCTGATTTCAGCCAATCAGATGCCGCTGTTGTGTTACCTAGGATTGAAGTAGCGGAACGTGGACAAGAAGTCTTTATATGTGGTTTCAAAAGACTCCAAGGCATTTGGGCAAGAAGCCTGGAAGAGGAGGTGAGTGTTTTTCTGACCTCTTTCAGAAATCTTTTTTTCCATAGAAAGTTGTCTTTTTTAATACGCGGGTTCGTATATTTGGAAGGTAGAAAATGTGTTACTACAATCCTTAAGCTTAAGACAGCGATTTTCAGTGCGCAGACAAATTAGATGGAATTTTTGATACTTCAGGCTAGCCCAGAGTATACTACTCCTAGCCTGGTGTCCAGCCTTGTTAGCTTTAGTCCGCTCCCCAAGATCCGCTCCCCGCCAACAATAGAGGGGAGCGGATCTTGGGGAGCGGACTAAAGCTAACAAGGCTGGACACCAGGCTATACTACTCCCCCGCTGGTGAGGCTAGCTCCGAGTACCCCCGTCTCGCCCAGAGAAAACTGTGATGTTAACCTTACATGCCAATGTTTACTGTTAATTAGCTTTTTACCCCTTCTGAGTGAATGTCATGGTGATAACAGGCATTCTAGGCATAAGTTTTCATAGTAAACAATTGTCAGCGTTGAAAACATTTGACACATCACACAAATGACTCAAAAGTTAGTGAATGTTGTACAGACAAGTTCTTTCAATGTGCCTGTAAATTGGCGTGACGAGACAATTCAAACATCCATGGAAGAAACTATAATACCCTAAACATAACTTTTGCGTACCTAGGTATTTCTCTGTGAAAGTTGTGACAGATCCTATTCATTTCGGTTGTACTTGAGTGCTGCATATTCAACCAACGCTTCCCCATGTTCAATACAGCCGTATACCACAAGGAAACAAAAGAAGCATTCAGGTATTATAATACCTAACATCAGTTACATATCAATACAACTGTTGAATCTATTCACTTTTTTCCGGGAGTCTAAATTTAGAAGTGAAGAGATGAGATTTATTGGTTACACAGAAAACAGATTGCTGAAAATACTCTTGTACGCTGATATCGTATTATGGTCATTGTAAGAAAAAATGTAACTAACAGGACTCGGGTAGAGAGAGAGAGAGACAGAGAGATCATGTGAAGGAAAACGTTCTGTATCTACGTGCAAATGTTACCTTCCTAAAACGAAAAAAAAAACAAGAAGCCATAGGCGACAATTCTCCGTGAAGTATTATATATTGCAACAAAAAGAAGTAGCCATTGGCGACAATTCTCTGTGAAGTGTGATAAATCGAACAAAGAAAAATTGTTTAAACGCGCGTCGGCTCAGTCATCTTAAGACGCAACAACCAATCAGAGATGCGAGATGCCTACACGTGACGCGGGAAGGGCGCGCGATGCCC